AAAAATTTGAGTTACACACGACAGTTTATAATACAACTGGCAGTACTTTGTGACATGCATCAAAACATTATTATTATTGTATTATCATGTTACAGATGTTTTAGTGTATCTGGAAGTGTTCCGTCAATGTTTTTATGCATAGAAAAGTATACTATATACTAAGACAAACATGGCTGACTTTAGGTACAAACCGAACCTAAGTGTTCTTACTTATGTACAAATTCTACTTAATGACAGACCTAGGAACAGAACTGATTTGTAATCCAGGGACTGCCTATATTTCTCGAGCCACAGGAAGAGTGTGTGGTGGTTCTGGGGTCTCTATCTTAAGTGGTCTCCAGCAAAAAAGGCAAATTTTCCTCCTCTTGTCTCTCTCCTGGTTTTAAAGCAGAACTTGGTCAAAATATTTCAAATATCTCAGCCTTTAGTACACATCAGCAGTGTGTTTCTAGAGTTCCAATCTGGATTCCCACAGTACACTCCTGCTCTTTGAGATGTTTTTGCATATACAGGTATGTGTCATTTAATATCCACAATACGTTCTGTGAAATAGGATATTATCTGATTTGGATGTTGGGTGGATACCATAATTAAAACCATATGGGAGCCTACTTCTGGTCATCCTCATCACTGCTGTTGCCACAGTTGGAGCTGCTGGTGGAGGCTGGAGGACAGAGCAGTAGTGGCTGAAAGGAAGCGGAGTGGAGCAGGCAGGGCTTGGGTCCCACAGTCACCCACCTGCCTGCCTGCCAGACAAAGCCCACAGAACCCACTCCCAGAGACATGTCGTCTGCCTCACCTGCCTGCTGTGTGATCCAGTGCTGTAAGAGTCTGGGCTTAGGGTTTTTAAAATCATTAGGGGGAAGTAATAAAACAATTGTTTTCCCTTTAAAAACAAAACAAAACCTTATGGGACCAAGGATGTATATGCAGTGAGACGTTGCCCAAAACAGACATTATATGATGCATACCTGTATTTAAGCTAAACCTGTTGCCATCAAGTCCTTGATGACTCACCACGACCCCATGGGACAAAGTGGAACTGTCCCGTAGGGTTTTCTAGGCTGTTACCTTTACAGAAGCAGATCACCAGGTCCTTTCTTCCAAGGAGCAGCTTGTGGGTTCAAACCACCAGCCTTTCAGTTTGCAGCTGAATGCTTAACCACCGTACCAGCAGGCCTTCTTATGTAATCTAAAGAAGGTTTAATCTCAGTAAGGCTGGATTTTCCTGTCTACAAATAGCTGTAGATAAGCTATATGCAGGCAAGCTATATGTCCTGATACAGATAGAGGAAGAGACCTTCTTTTCAAGTGGAATAGACTTTCCAATTATGTAACCAGTCATAATCTGGTAATAATTTGTACTAAGTATGGGATGGTTCCTCTCTTTACCTTAACTTGGTACATATGGAAAGGAGAGATTAAAAAAAAAAAAACACACTGCCATCAAGTCAATTCTGACTCACAGTGGGAGCTCTGGTAGCATAGTGCCTAAGGCACTTGACTGCTAACTAGAAGGCTGGCGGTTCAAACCCACCAGCCACTCCTCGAAAGGAAGGTTGGGTAAATATTATTCCTGACTCACAGTGGGAGCTCTGGTAGCATAGTGCCTAAGGCACTTGACTGCTAACTAGAAGACTGGCGGTTCAAATCCACCAGCCACTCCTCGGAAGGAAGATGGGGCAATCTACTTCTGTAGTGATACCGCCTCGGAAACCCAAGGAGGGGTCTCTATGAGTCGGATCCGACTTGATGGCAATGAGGTTTTTTTGAGAGTGATCCTGAAGAACAGAGTAGCCCTGTAGGTTTTCCAAGGCTATAAATCCTTATAGAAGCAGACTGCAGCATCTTTTGTTTGTGGAGTGCCTGGTGGATTCAAACTACCAGTATTTCAGTTAGCAGCCAAGTACTTTAACTAGGGCCACCAGGGTCAAAGTGCCTTCTCAAATATGAAGAAAAATTTGATAGCAAATCTGATCTCAGATCAGTAACCCTGTGAATAACTTAGAACATCTGCCATATCCCAAATCCTAGTTTTTCTTGCACTAGAATTATCTAAAATAAAAGCTAATTTATGTAAAATACTGTTTTCATGTAGCTTATGTGTACTTTAGTTTAGAGTATCTTTTTAGGAAAACAAATTTGTTACTAGTTGTTTAAAAAATTATTTAAAAGACTATCTTCTCCCATGGGTAAACAAAAGCAGTTATGTTATGCCTTAGAAATACAGAATATAAATTTAAAAGCAAATAGGTGTTTCTTTTACCTATATGTTTTAAAGTTATTATTTCTATGAGAAAATTGGCATGTGCGCTAGCTACTTCAGAATGATGTGAAAAAACAAAGAACATGCTATGTTTCTTTGAAAGTAGAGAATTTAGTTACAAATACAAATAGAGTATTCTAAAAAGTTTTCTGGCTTCGTGACTCATGACTTTCCATGGAGACAAGCATATTTTCCCTCACTAAATATAGGAGCATTGCAAACCGTGAAATGGAATAGTGACTATTTTAAGTGCCTAAAGTACCAACGGTCAATGAGAAACCAGTGATAAGCCTTACAAAGCAAGAGGAGTCTAGGAACTTGAAAAGCAAATAAAAAAGATGCCCACTCAAAACTTTCAACCTGAAGGTTGCAATTCGAAGGCAGAAAGGAACCTGAGTGATATGGGACAGAAGAAATTATCCTATAAAGCAAAAGGGTCTAGGCCTGTGGTAAGGATGTGGTGGGGCAAAGGGCTCTTCTTGGATAGTGGAAAGAATGTGTAACCTTAAGTTCTGTGTGGGTTATCTGAATGGTTTAGAGGATGTTTTTTAACCTCCCCTAATCACACTTTATCTGGAAAACTGGTATCATAATATCGCATAGGGATGTGTTGCTGCTGTTGTTGTTAGATGCCATCAGGTCAGCTCTGACTCATAGCGACCTTACGCACTACAGGATGAAACACTGCCCGGTCCTGCACCATCCTCACAATCCTTGCTATGCCTGAGCCCATCCTTGCAGCCACTGTGGCAATCCATCTCATTGAGGGCCTTCCCCTTTTTCTCTGACCCTCCACTTTACCAAGCATGATACCCTTCTCCAGGGAATGGTCCCTTCTGACCACATGACCAAAGTAAGTGAGATGAAGTCTGGCCATTCTTGCTTCTAAGGAGCATTTCAGTTGTACTTCTTTCAGGACAGATTTGTTCATTCTTCTAGCAGTCTATGGTATTTTCAGTATTCTTCACCAAGATTGTAATTCAAAGGCATCAGCCCTTTTTTGGTCTTCCTTATTCATTGTCCAGCTTTGACATACATAGGAGGCAACTGAAAATACCATGGCACAGGGATGTGGTAACGATTAAATAATGAGACATATCTGAATGTACTGTATACTTCTAATGATACTTGCTTTTTGATGGAAATTTGATTTTGAGAGTGTAAGTATGTTCTCATGCCATTTTAGTCCTGGAAAATTGAGTTCTGGTAAAAAAGAGGACAAGCTATAAGGTTAAAGTCCTGGCACCATTGGGAGGATTTTTATTTTTCTCATTTGGCACAGTATTCTACAGGTTATAGCCATGGTTCCTTTGGCCAGAGTCTTGGTAAGAGATAAGGTAAGTTCATAAGGTGATGATTTTTCCTTACCCAAGAGGTTATAGTTCACAGCACAATTTTAATTTTTAAAAGGTAAGAATCTGGGATTTTATCAAGAAAGATAACCAAGTAGCCTGGAACCTAAGTAGCCAAGAGCCAGGAGAATGGAGTTCAGGTCTTTCTCTGATCAGCAGTGGTACCTAGTGTAATCTCAGATGTTTCACCTATAAGATAAAGGTAACAAGATGAGTGGTTCTCTTCCTGGAAGCACATTAGAAAACTGCCATATAATTAGGAGCTAAATTCTGTTAAAACACTAGTTGCAGGGCCCTAGCACAGCATTTTGGATTCAGCAGGCCTGGGGTGAGGTGCCGAGAGTTTGCATTTCTAAAAAGTTACCAAATGATGCTGATCTTAGAACCACACTTAGACCCTGTACCAGATTATCTCTAAATGGCATTCTTACCTCTAATCTAATAAACCATGACCGGTTGCATAAGGAGAAGGGACTACATCAACCAAAAGCTGCAAGCTTCCTGGCTCGAGTGCCCAACTGGGCTCCTGCCCAAAGAATGCTGATCATTGAGTTTCATGAATGAAAGCTGTAGTTTCCGATGAGCAGAACAAGATTCACTTGGGAGTGTCTTGATAGTAGCACAACTGCTTTATTAGACTCACCTGTGTCACTGGTTAAGTCAGGGCACAAAGACGGGCAGAGGAGTGGGCTCTTTGAAGGGTGTGGAAGTATTCTGTTACTGGTTGATCTGGGACCCCAGAGGTGGGCCCTATGTGCATATGGGCCCATCTAGGCCTACAGTATCTATGTGGTTTAGAGGCAGAGAAACTAATAAAAGCACCACTTCCCCCTTTCTTCTCCACCACCCCCTTACCTCTCACAAGCCATGGCTTTCTTACATAAATTGAAAACTTAACTGGTCAGGAATAATCCCTCATCTCAAGGCAAAAACTAATTTGCTGTTAAGCAGGGATGGATGGGGCTTCATATTATGTTCATGTTTAGACATCTTTAGAATGCCTGTGCTTACAGCTTTGAATTAAATTTTGGCCTTTTAGTTAATATCTAGTATTTTTTTTGTTGTTGTTATTTTTTAAATATCTCTCATATGAATCTATACTAGTACTACTTAAGTGTCAAAAGTTGTTTTTCAATGGCCGGGCTGAGTGAAAGCTGGAGCTCCATGGCCAGTTCCAGAGCTTCCAGTTTACCCTACGCCAACGGTTATACTCCCTAATTCTTAGATCCCCCGGTTGAAATTAGGTCTTATCTCTTTCTCTAGTGCTCTTTCTCCATTCATGTACAGAAACCTTTGGTTGTTAAAAATTACTTCTGAGGGTCAAAGAAGGGTGTAATTTAATGACTGGAGATTCTCATTTTCATTTTTCTTCCTGGCAACAGTTAATTGGCATGCTGCTGGCCTGCTGTCTGTCCCGGTTCATCACGGCCAATCAGTATGAGATGGTGTAAGGAGAAGGTGAGTGGCAGTGGGGAGGGTTTAATTCTGGATTTTCTATGTGGGGTGTATTTCTGACTCATGGCAACCCATGTGTACAGAGTAGAATTACTCCATAGGGTTTTCAAGGCTGTGACCTTTCGGAAGATCACCAGGCCTTACTTCCAAGGCATTTCTGGGTGGATCTGAGCCGTCAACCTTTTGATTAGTAGTCCAGTGCTTAACCATTTGCACCACCCAAGGACTCCTGTGAGGTCTATAAACCCACTGCCATCGAGTCACTTTTGACTCACAGCGACCCTCATTGGGTTTCCAAGGTTGTAAATCTTTAGGGAAATAGATTGCCTTACCTTCCCTTGGAGTAGCTGGTGAGTTTGAACCACCAACATTCTGGTAAGCACCCAAATGCCTTAGTAACAATGCCAGCAGAGCCCTGAGGTTAGGAGTACTGCCTGGCTACTTAAGTAACTGATTTTGGTGCACTTGCCCACATGCCAGAGTCTTATTTCTGCAGTGCAGGGGAGGAAGTATGACTATTACTATTGTGTAATATGTGGAAATGTTCTCTTTAGCTTGTTACCTTTTTCTAAGTCCTCATTAATGGCGAATCACTCACATGTTTTAATTTCTTTCTTAGTCTTTCAAGAACGACGGAATAAGCGACCTGTTTATAAAAGACCTGCAGCAATCTTTGAAAGACTTCCAAAGAATGTTAGAGCACAGTACATAATACCCCTGCACCTGCACCCCCACCCCTATCCTCCACCCCACCCCAGCCCCAGTGTGCAACCAACACTCCCACACAGTCTCTGCTCTACCTTTCAGCCGACATCATGTGTAGTGTTCCAATTTGTGAAGCCCTGTCATGCCAGAGTGTAGCCAGGTCCCCCCGCAGCTAGTCCTTACTGGAAACCCCACCCCTGACCCCCAAGGCTCTCTGTGTTCCAGCTCCTCCATCTGTACTTGGTCCAACTGCAGCTCATCGTAGGTGACTGGTTATCACACCATCACTGGCCCTGCTGGGCCCTGCATGTAGTGTGGGAGGCTCCCGTTTGCCCTTCACCAAGATCGATGAATACTGAATACCACACACCTTTATGTAGATAAGCAGATGATAGATACCTGTTCTTTTGACTTAATCTCATTTGGTTTGATTTTCCCTTTAGTAAGGCTCTTTCCTACCTTCTTCAGACTGCCCAGGTCATGGAAAAAAATACATTGGTTATTGTCCATGAGGAGAAAAAAGCATGTGTCATGAGTGGTGTAAATTGTTGTTGAGCTTTAGATGGCCTCCTTGCTCATAATTGTTACATGCCTGGGTGGGTATAGACAGTTTAGTGCCCCTTTACCTCTCAGTTGAAACCTGTATAATCCTGTTACAAAGCTGTGTCATTGCTTCCTGTGAAGGCAATAATATTACTTTTGGGTTTTTTTTCTCCAATTAATTGCTATTGTGTTATTTCTTCTTTCCGTATTTTCTTCTTGCATTGACATTACAGACATGGAGGACCTCGTCAAGTCAAGTTCAATATGCGTGTGAGGGGGAAACAAAAGTCAAAATATTTCAAAAGAACTTAAAAAATAATGCCTCTGTCTAGCATGCCAACAAGAATGCATTGATATTGTGAACATTTGTGATATATGTATTAATAAATAGAGCCATTAAAAACTGCTGTGTTCTGGTTCTGTTATTTGCTTCTTACGTACGTTTTTAAAAACACATCTCTTTCCAGCTTGTCACACAGGGTACTTGAGTAGACCACCTGACACACTGACACACCATTTTTCTCATGCCCCCACCTCCACTCCACCAAAATAATATCAAGCAGGATAAATGCAGAGGGGTCTGATTTTTTTGTTATGGACATTTCAGGAACTTGAATCATTTATCATGTACAGAATACATTATTGACTGCAGAAATAGTCTCCATTTTATTTCAGGCCTCTGGCCTAACATCCATGAGATAAATACAGAGTTCAGATTTTTTTTTACAATCTGTATTTCATAAAAAAAGAAATGAACATCTATTTTTTCCTTCCTCATTTCTAATAATCATATGTTTCTCTTTCCTCTTTCTTTCCTGATTGAATAACCTCAGTCTAGAGAAGAGAAGACATCTTACAATTTAAGCTTCCCAATGCCTCAGTTAAGGAGCTGTGGTGGCGTAGTGTCTAAGGCATTTAACTGCTAACCAGAAGGCTGGTGGTTCAAACCCACCAGCCACTCAGAAGGAAGGTTGGACAATCTACTTCCATAGAGATACTGTCTCAGAAACCCAAGGGAGGGGTTGCTGTGAGTCAGAATCAACTATTATTATTATTATTATTACTGATGATAAGGTTAGTTGTTCCTTTCTGGAAATCTTTCATTTCTCCCTCGTAATGTCAGCTCTCTCTGGTTACTTTTAACATTTTCTCTTTGCCTTTGATGCACCTCTTCAGTATTCAACACATGATGGACTTTCTAGTACTACCTTCTGGTCACTTAGAGTCTTTCATTTTTCCCATTTTTTTTTTTTCTTTTAGAGCATCCTTGATAATTTCTTCTGTTCTGTCTTCTAGTTCTCAAATTTATCTAATTTGTTTTAATTTTCAATAAGCATTTTTTTTCATTTTCTTTTTTAAAACCAGTTTATTTTTTTATAGTGGGTTTTGTCTTTAACTATGGCTTCACATTCTGTCTTTAATAATTCTCAACTATTTTTTGTCCTTTCAATTATTCTAATATCTAAAGTTCTTGGGTAGGAATCCACTTGTATGTTGTGTTGTCTGACTGTCATGCATGGTTTTCTTGTGTTTTTAATTTTTGTAAGTAAACTACTAAGGATTTTAAAAAAAAAACTTATGTTGGGATAATTTTAGATACATAGAAAATTTGCAAAGATGGTACAGAGACTTCCCACCAATCTCCCTTGATGTCATCATCTTACATTATCCTTTTATATTTACACAACCAACTTTTAACTAGACTCTGTTGTTGTTATGTGCCGTTGAGTCAAACCCGACTCATAGCGACCCCTCCTTGGGTTTCCGAGGCAGTATCACTACAGAAGTAGGATTGCCCAACCTTCCTTCCGAGGAGTGGCTGGTGGCTTTGAACTGCCAGCTGTCTGGTTAGCAGGCAAGTGTCTTAGCCACTATGCTACCAGACTTTAAGATTTCACTAGCTTTTGCTCTAATGTCTTTTTTTCTGACCCAAGATACAATCTAGGACAACATACTGCATTTAGATTGAGGTTTGGTTTTTCTGTGATAGTAGCATGCAACCTAGGTTGTGGAATGATCCCTGCAATGAAATTTTACATTTGTTTACCCAGACACTGCATGAGTTTTGCTGGTCCAGAACCAGTTTTTGTATTAACTTGGAGAATCTAGTACAACATACGTAGCATAAGTATAGACTCCACACCTTACATGGTGGGTTATTTCCATAGGGTTTTTTCTAGTCCCTCATTCACAGAATTTACACAAGTTTCTCAGGTCCAGATAGTTGCTCAATGTGGTACAAGGTCTCCTGACCCCTTAACCCCAAAACATTGGGGAGTATTAACCCATTGTCAGCAAGTCAATTTGAACACACAGCTTCCCTATAAGACAGAGTAAAACTGTCTCATAGGGTTCCCAAGCCTGTAATCTATATGGAAGGGGTCCTTGTGACACATTGGTTAAGCACTTGGCTGACTGTTACTGAAAGGTTGGTGCTTGGAACCCACCAGCTGCTCCACAGAAGAAAGATGTGGCAGTCTGCTCCTGTAACCATTACCTACTAACAAAAACCCATTGCCATCAAGTCAATTCCAACTTATAGTGACCCTATAGGACAGAGTAGAACTACCCCTTGAACTACTTCCAAGGCTGTAATCTGTGGAAGCAGACAGCCACGTCTTTCTCCTGTGGAATGCCTAATGTGTTAGAAACCAGTTCTTCCCAGTATAGTCATGGCCAGCAAAGCAAAAGTAGAATGGACCTAAATTTATAAAATGTAGGTAAACTGGAACTGTAATTGGAACAGGAAAAATTACAAGTCCATGCACTGCTAGGAACTTAATCCCTTCCTTAGAAAAGAAGAGCAACATATGCATTACATAGCAACCAAATCTCTTGACTTGCAGATTCAGAAATGGAAGCCTGGCTCAAAGGTGGTGGCCAACCATCTGCTGCTTTGAATGTGTGTACTTCTTCACACTCCTGGCAATAGTCCAGTCTCCCACATCAGGCTCCTGAAAGGGCTCACTGTGCTTCTCATGAGTTTCCCATTCCAGGACTTTGACTCATTTTTTTTCCCCCATTCCAGTTATCATTGTGCTTCAACCAAATTTTTAAAATCGAAGGCTGTGCCAATTTCACTTCATCAGCCATGACTAAACCACCTTAAAGCCCTGGTTAAAACAACTGATCTTTAGGTTAGCAGCTGAGTACTCAAGCACTGCACATTTGGGAAGGAAGGTTGGGCATTCCTACTTCCGTAGTGATACTGCCTCGGAAACCCAAGGAGGGGTCGCTATGAGTCGGGGCCGACTCGACGGCACACAAC